CGTACATTTACAAATGAGAATAAACTAAATGTTGATGGAATTGCAATTGGTAAAAAGCCTTGAAAAATAGGATAATAAAAATACGTTGCATATTGAACAACTTGAGGATTTATAACCGTACATCCTAATAATTCTGTTATAATAGCAAAAGAACTATATAAAATACTGTGAGAAAATGAAATAATAATACATATTATAACAAAATAATAAGTTAATTTAATTGTACATATTTGTCGAATATGTAATCGATAATTTGTTGAACAAAACTGATCAACAGCTGCAAAACAAATCATATAAGTCGATATTAGTCCTGTTCCTTGAAAAGCTATATAACGAGTTTGACACCAGAATATTGAAAATCTTAGTGCACTGTCTCCATATATTAATGGTATCAAAGTGCTCATCATAGTAAATAGTTCACTGAAAAGATTAGAAAGTGATTCAATAATTAAATAAAAAAACGCATCGATTCTGTCGAAATTGTTTTAATCGAATAAATATCAAAATATTGAACATATTACTGATAAATCCTATTATAATTAAAATACTGTTTACATAAAGTGCATATTGCGAAGTAAACTGCGAAATTTGTACTGCTAACGACGTTGTTGACATGTCGAATAAATGTATATACCAATATAAATGAAAACTTCTTTCTAGAAGGTTTTTTTTCTTAGTTTTGATTAAAATGTCAACCTTAATAAATGACATAAAGGTAATAATCTTCTAAGAAATTAAAAAAATAAGACAAATGCTGTAAGTCAGGAAGCTTTTGTATAAAATTGCAAAATATGCACTTAGGCAGATTTTTCTAACGAGAAAAAAACGATATTAAAATAATGGAGAAAACTAATTAACTAAAATAATAATAAAAGACTATCGTAAAAAAACACCTTTATCATGCTTTTTTATTTTATATTAAAACATATAATTATATAATAAAAAGAATATTTTTCATAACTAATGAGAGCAAGTCAGTTACGTCAATTTAGAATAAAGTAAATGCCGAAAACTCGGATTTAAATCCGAGAGTTGTGTGTACTCTAGGAACTGGATTTACGTGTTTACTTGAGTTTAATCCTTATTGTTTTCTAAATAATGTCTATCATATCTAACAAAAGTAGAAAGAAAACGCATATATATTAATAGAAATGTAATCGTACAGATTATCTTAAAGTACGACTGATTAAAAATAGAGTTTACGTTGGCTAACTAGCCATTACAACTACACGAATTGTTGTGAATAAACATGCAATTACACCTAAAATTGCTTTTTTTATCCAACGAAAATCTGTTTTATATTTAAAAGAGATAATTAAAACATTAGGAGTTACTTTGGATGAGTTCAAAATATTTACATATGTTCTAGTAAAATTGTCATTTTTGTGTACTCAAAAAGTGAGTACACTATTAGAATTGATCAGTACGTCCGTCCATTTATCCGATAGCTCTTGAAAACTACATGAATATGAGCCCAAAGTTTTGTCCGTAATATTGTCTCATTGATATCTCGATCGAGTTCGAACATGAGCTCGACCGGCTTAGCTGTTTCGAAACTATTGTAAAAATACTGACTTGAGGATGTGGGTGGGGTGGAAAAATTTTATGATTGGAACCGGTAGACCTCATCAAGTTGTACTTGGAACCTACGCTGAAGCAAATCGGCTCAAGAAAATGTCGAGTCCTGCCCGGAGGTATCCTACGTTTCTCATAAGCTTTTGCAGTACACATAGCTTTCAGATAAAATCCAAAGGTTCCTCATTTATTCTTTTTACAAAAAGATCATATTTACCTCCACCGATTGTGACAAGGAAATACGTCTGATCTTCATAGAAGTATAAGGCTTCTTATTTTTTTCTCGACTGAAAGGAATCATGGCAGGAATGTCCTCAAATTTTGGTTCTCAAAGAAATGTGCTTGATATTTTGTCCTTTGGAAAACGTCTTTTGAACAAATGTCTTCTAAGAATTGGTCCGATATTTGAAAATGTCCTTTTCGCCTAACTACGACAATTTAGAACGAAGCGTATCTAATACATAGATAGCGCTGTAATTCAAGTAAAATTTGTGTCATAAACCGCACAGAGGATTCACTTATGTATTCAAGAAAGGGATGAAATAAAAGCAAGATGATCATTGCACTCGTGTCGTTTGTATCTAGACATAATTTATAGGTAATACAAGCGGAATATTTTCAAATGGACATGGATGATTTCGTTATAATTGATGAAGCGTCGTCATCGTCTTCCTCATCATCGTCTTCATCTAAACCTTCGATCGGCAAAACAATATCAAATAAACGAAAATCCATGGTAACAGTTGATGGTTTTCAATTTCAATTAAAAAATTTCAATAAAGCAAAAACTATGAAATTCTGGCGATGTGCCAATCGTCTTTGCAACGTCATTTTACATACAAATCCAAGTGATGAATTTGTGAAGTTCTCGAAGAATAAAAGTGATCAGTCCCATTTACCAAATCCAGCTGCTTTAGAAATATGAAACTTAAGAGAAAAAAATGCGAAACGAGCTGAAAATGAGTTATTGCCTTTACAACAAATTGCTGAACAAGAAGTACGACAAGGCTTACTCACTAGTAAAGCTCTTGCTGTTATATCAAATATTCTTAGCCTCGGTAACCTATCAAGAGTTGATATAGCAACGACATACTTACGTATATAGTTCATTTAGGCCATAATTTGGTGAATAATCGGCGAGTAATAATGCCTCCAATTTCACAGTCATGTTCTTTTGATATCCCAGATGTATATAGAAATGATTGTCTTAATAAAGACCGCCTTCTATTGCACGATAGTTACAATTCACATTTTTTTTTATAAATGATTCGTTGTATACGCGACCTGAAGGAAGAATTCTCATGTGGTCATCAGATGTTCAATTGAAATTACTTTTTGACTGTGATAAACTTTATATGGATGGACCTTTTTCCACGTCTCCATCTAATTTTGATCAAGTGTACATTTTTGAAGCTGTTCATCATGGACCATGTAAGCGATTTCTACTTATTTAAACATAGAACAAATATAAATTCATATAATGAAATATTCTTCATTATTATAGGTTTGCCGATGGTATTCTCATTACTTCCTGGTTGCGAAGCAACAACGTATTTATATATGGTTCATATTTTCATTTCTGAAGCAAATAAAATTGATAACAACTTCAATCCTTACTTAATCAAGACCGTTTTTGAGCCAGGAATTTAGCGCGCAGTCTCACTTACACTATAACCGTTTTCTCATATCTCATTGATCATATTGAAAACATTTTCTTTTAGTTTACAGAAGCAACAGTACAGAAAGGTTGTTTCTTCCACTTTTGCAGTGGTATATCGAAACATTCAATTCAAGGGTTTATCATCAACTTATTTGGAGAATCTTATGGTTCATCGTGTGATCCGACGAATGATGATGTTCGCGTTAGTTCCTGAGCAACTTGTTTTATCATTGTTTGCCGGTCTCTATGAAGAACCTAGTGAATATGAACGTGACGAATTGAAATGTGTCTTTACTTATTTTGAACATTAATGATTGCGCGAAATTTCGATCTGGAATGTTTTCGACAGTCGTAATAAAACGAATAACTTCTCCAAAGGTACGTAAAAATAAAGTAATGATTGTAACATTTGAATTAATTTTCACACACTTTAGGATATAACAATAGGTTTAAACGAAGAATGGAAAAAAACTATCTAAATATTTGATCCTTCATCGATTCCATCAAAAATGAAGTACATACTGTTCATAATTTAATTTCTCAAATGAATGCTGGAATGAGATCTCGTGAGAAAAAAAAACTCAATCCAAAATTACCGAACGAAGAACTAAAGAATTAGATAATCGTTACAGTGAAAGAAAAATCACAGTCGAAGAGCTGTTACGTCAGCTTTCTTTTTTTGTGACAAATGATAAGTAAATCAGTAATTCACTCGTTATGGTAAACAAATATATCATTTTTATTACGCATCGATTAGTTCTTTGTTTTATACTGAATAGTGGCGTAACCAAGGGTGGGCTACCCAGGTCAACAAATCCGATGCTGGATCCGATCGGATCTTACCGGATCCGACCATCCGACAAAATCCGATCGGATTCCTGGAAACTAGGGATGTCACAATACCATTTTCAGACACGTAAAGATTGCCAAATTTCACAATGAAAATCCACCAA